CTAAACAATAAAAAGATGTATTTTAATTAATACTATGAACTTTGCAAACAACGTTAGTGGCTTTTATTATTTGTCAGATGAAAGTGATTGTTGTTCTGTGTCGTATTGATTTTAAAAACGTTTCCATAGTCTCTTTTTCGATGTACTGTTTTTCTGAGGTAATATAAACTATCAAAAATCAATATTTTAGACTTGTCAGACGTTCATTTATTCTAGACAATACGTGTAGACAACAACGACGACTGTATTTATTCTGATGTTATTAAAACGGCTCATTTGACTGATAAAGTTGTCCTGCCGTTACATCTATATTTACCTTGATTTCAGTATGAAAAATGAACGTAACGCAGTTGATCAGTCGATTTTTGTTATGTGGTCGTGATACGATTTGATATCATGAATATGAGAAAAATGTATCTTCCTACGCTCTTAATCAGTTTCAATCGGATGTTCAATTCAAATTATTCACTCTCTAAATACGCAAGGCTATGATAAATTTTTTTTGTTTCTCTCCTTCTCCGTCCGGCTGTTTTCTTTTCTCTCCTTCTCTGTCCGGTTGTTTCCTTTTCTGTCCTTTCGACATAATCATTATATATTTCTATACAAGACTGATTGATATACTTCGCTCCTTGAAAAATATCTTCATATACCGTAAAACAGCGTTAGCGTCCACTATGTCGTGAATATTAATCCGCTGATATGAAAAGAAAGTGTTCTTGAAAAATATCTTCATATACCGTAAAATTCGTTTTCATGCGAGAAACAAACTGCAATGATACGAAGATCATTTTTCGAAGAACACTTTCTTTTCATATCAGCGGATTAATATTCACGACATAGTGGACGCTAACGTTGTTTTTTCCTTTACATGTATATTTATAATTGCAACAAAATTTCTTGAAATCAATCTGATTGACACATTATAATGCATTAATACATTATCGTTATCTTATTGGAATTTTATGAAATAATGCATTATAACGCATTAACGCGAAATATATTCATGGATAAACATAGTAGTCATGTAGTACTTTAAAAATGACGTTGGTTTGTCTTTTTCTTTATTACTTACTTCATATATAAAGGATATTCGACTGGAATATGAATATAATTTTGCTTCCAGAAATCTTGCATGATTTGCTTGCTTTCTTGGTATTTCAATTCACTATTTAATTCTGTCATAGTATATTTTGATTTTTGTCGATCGAAATAATCTCAGCTGATTATGATTTTAGCTGAGTCCTCTCCAATGTCGTTTTAGCTTATCGAAGCCATAAAGAAATAATGATGACATATTATCAGTCGATTTCTTTTCTAAACTATCTAATTGTAATTTACAACATCGTAACATTTTCTGCTTGCGCGTTTTTTCTTACTATATATCATTATCAAAATGGCCTTCCTCTTCTTTTAATTTTATTTGATGAAGTCAAGGATGTTTTTGATCATTTCCGATCAGCATTTGTTTTCTTTGAATGCTTTCACCAAAATACGCTTCACTAATTCAACAATTTTTTCATGCCAGTTCATCAAATAACGAATAAAACACTTTTCCCTTTATATCACATGATATTCTGTATTGATTATCGAGAAGAATTTGGTTGCTATTTATTTTTCCGAATATGCATCTCACTTGCTGTGTGCTTAAATTAATATTACAATCTAATAAAACTAACAGAACGAATGATATGATTTCTTTTTGTTTCTTATGTTATATTCTTTTGTTTAGCTGGTGGCCATTGTTTATTAATGGTCTCATAGTATATTTTATCTGTAAAATTATTACAAATGTTCTACTGAAAACTTACATAATGATCTAGTTCTAACATCAAAATGTAAATTGATAGGTGAGATAGATATCTACTCATCAATAATTTTTTTTGTTTCTGTTTTAGATCTATCGTTTACTTTTCTTAAATTTGTGTATCAATGAATCGTGTGTATATTATGTATAATTATTCCTTAATAAGTACGTACCAATTGATGCTATTGAAAGAAAATATTTTCAAGTTTCAAGAATGCAACGGTATCTATCTTTTACTTGAGAAAAATTTCAAATTCAACAAAAATCTATTTCATAGTTATAAGAACCTGAATAACAATGAATATTTTCATAACAAACGCTCTAGCTTTCCTAAATAATGTTCTTTTTTTTATGTTTTGCCGAGGCAAAAACGTTTCCTATAGCATTATTCAATATAAACTTTTTCACGTCGCGTTGATCAGGATGCAAAAGTTTACTACATTCTAAATCAGGGAAGTAGTAACTTTTTATAACAATCTTTAATGAAATTACCTCGGATATCGAACTTCTCTTCTGCAGGCATTTTCAAGATTGTCATTGTTGATCGTACATCAAGGTCCGGATAGAGACATTTAGTAATCGATCTGCATGTTTTTGCTATATCTTCACTTTGTTTGCATCGCTTTACCTGGTTCATATTAAGGTTTAAACGACGACAAATTTGTTTCAGCTCTTCTTTTCCTTTACATTTCTTTTTCTTTNAGTATAGATGGATTTACTCTATGGGACGAAATGAATTTGTGACAAAGTGAACAGGGACGAAACAATCGTGACGAAATGAACTTGTACCGAAATGAATGTGACGAAATGAATGTGGCGAAACGTTGTGGGACAAAGTGAGCGGCTACCGTTCAGCTCACCATCTTCTACAAAAGATTTTAGAACAGATAAAGAAAAATATCTCCTTTGTAAAGAGGAAGGAACAAGCCCAGGCTCAACGAATAAAACGAAATTCACCCGCAAGTTCGAATTTTCCGACGTCAGAAATCCTTCGGTCTACTCTGAAAATGGATGTTAATTAGTCGTGGCTAGTTAATGAAAAACTAATAGTTAATTAATCAACACTAGCCTCGGATTCGTGATCCTCGACCTCGATTACCCTTCAGCCGACTCTTACTCGACAACGAAGAAAATTTTCATTGCTTAATTATCTAATTAGCTAATGAGCTGATTGGAATTTCGAGAAACTAACCTCAGATTCGAGACCTTCGACCTCGCTTACCCTTCGGTCAACCCTTACTTGACAACGAAGAAAATTTTCATTGCTTAATTATCTAATTAGCTAATGAGCTGATTGGAATTTCGAGAAATCAACCTCAAATTCGAGATCCTCGACCCCGATTACCCTTCGGTCAACCCTTACCCTGTATATTAATAATCTATGTCTAGTTGACAGATAGTTAATTAAAAGTTAATAATTAGTTAAAACTAACCTCAGATTCAAGTTCCCCGACCTCGATTACCCTACCGGTAATCATTTCTTAACAACGATCGATCAATTTCATTGATTTTAGAAATGCTGATTTCTGATTGGATAGGACAGACAAACTTTAAGCTTTTTAACACAGCATTTAAACGCTGTATAACCCTTTCTTTCAGAAAAGGGAATAAATGCGTTACTTGACACAAACGTAGGAGAATATGATTAACAACTATTAGTGGAACATTTCGTGTAATAATGTATTTTAATGCATTATAATGCATTAAATAAATTTATCACCAATTTAACAAATTTGTTCAAAAGAAGCATTTATTTTCAATTTTTCGACAACAAATATAGAGTCAAAGCAAAAACAAAACGATATATACATAGAACGGTCATCACAACAAAACTACAATATTTGTGTGATGAAAAATGTACTAATAGTTGAAAAACGATGAGCACGAATCTATGATATATCTTCGGAAGTAACATTATGATCTAAATCTGAATGACCATCATCTCCATCTTTATTCAATTCTTCATTATTTAACGTGCCAAATCGTTCATACATACATGGTGTCACAAAAAAGTCTTTGATAATATCACCGAAGTGAAGAGATCCCAAACCAATGGTTTCTGAATTGATACCAGCTGTTTTACAATTCAAAAGATGCAGCATTATTAACATCATTGTCGTCGAATGTGGAAACGAGAAATTTCGTAATGCAAATTTAGCACGGGATATATACTGGAATGCTTGTTCAGCTGCTTGACTGTTCAAGCCAATGAATCGTCCTTCATGTGATGGATGGTCAGCTTTCATAATAGTTTGACACATCGGTCTGGAGTGTGTTTTTTGATGAAAATTGTCAAGAGCGAGATGAATTGGAAGTTGTCGAGTTATTGGTGACGATTTTAGCATATCAGTACCTAACCATTTATTCCAATGAAGCTTCAATGCACAGGCGCAATCATACATGAGTGCATCTGACATGAAACAGCCACTAATAATCATGAGTAAAAGATGACGAGTCACCGATCGCATTCCTAATAAAACATGGTCAACAACAATTATCACATCATTTGAAGATTTCGTCATATTTTTGAACGCGGAAACATTATTTAAATTTTATTTATAGAAGTTCTCAAAAGGACACACCTTCAGCTTTAACTGCTTCCATAAAACCAATTGCAACTCCACATGGATGATATGATGCTAATATACCATATGTTTTGTTTTTACTAATTTCTTCACTATCATTACGATAGTTTTGGCATTGACTTTTATGGACTGATAAAAAATCTTTATCCCATGTCTAAAATAAAAGAAGAAATAGGATTATTCTAGTAGTTGAACGAAATAAAAAAATGGAAATTTATTCTTATGTAAGATCAAAACTTTATGTTAAACTTTCAAGTTCCCTAAACAGTTAAATGGATGGCATTTACAAAATTGTGTATGTAAGAGCAAATTCGATCATTCTTTTCGAAAACATAATCAATTTCTCAATTGTCATAAGTCAGAAAAATATTAATTATGACATTGATTATTTTTCTTCATACAAGATGTAAAAATCAATGTAACTTAATGTCTAGCGTTAAACTTCTAAACGATCATTTAGTTAATATAATTTTATTACCGAGAACTGAGCAGCCATATCACCAGCTTTTTTCAGGTCAAGTGAAGGTGACAAAAGAATTGATGGTTGATGATATCGACAATAAATTGAATCAACTAAGATAAAATTATCAAGAATTAATAGCACTGAAATAATTGTAAACCTTTAATTTTATATTTACCTGAATTTGATGATTCTGTTCTTCGGCAAGGTGTATATGGACAACCAATTTCAATTGCAGTCATTTCTTCAATAGAAGTATCAACAACGTTTTTAAAGTTACATACTAATCGCCGACACTTTTGATGACCATCAACGATAACACACCGGCTACAATCCGAAGGAGAACATTTTATATTTGGAATTGACTTATGTCTTGACCAAAATGTAGTAAATAAATGGTACCACCAACCAGAATACGTTTCGAAATGATAATTAAGTTCATTTCTATTAAGTGAAACTGGTAAATTAACTATTTGAGATCGTCCTAACATGAATTCGAAGCGTACAATTTGATATAATAACCAATGACCTTGAAATAGTTTTGCTAATGGTATAGGTTGTAAAATGATGTTATAGTTTTGGTGTTCATAATGATATCGATCAATAAGTATTCGAGAAAACGATTGAAATGGGCATTGATCATGTAAAAGTTGGCATGTATAATCGAAAAAAACCGAAAATGTAAATCCAAATGAATCACATAAGTAAAACACTTTGAGTGTACTATTTAATGATAAACCATTGATCTTTCGCCAACGATATTTTAATGAATACCAAGAGGAATGATTATAAATTAGCGAACATGGTTTACATTCAGCAGTTACAGCTATTGCTCGAAGAATTTTAAAACAGTCGATTATATGAATTAATTTGTAACGATACGAAGTAAGTAATTTTGTGCAATTAACACAGGTGTTGGTGAATGGAAATAAAATCAAATCATTTACAACGTCCATTGAAATATGATTTATATCGGGTTTGATAGTATTTTCATGAAAATCCGATAGTAACAGTGCTCGATTAACAATATCTTTATTTATTTCGATCATGTTTGTTACCATCATAATATTTTCAGTTGTATGGTTGCTGTTATAACGATCATTTACTGCTTGTTTTATGAGCTCTGTTCGAGAAGTAGATGATAAAATTGTCGATGGAAAAGTTAATAATTTAATATATAATCGACAGATATAAACCAGAGCTACTAAACCAATGGAAGAACGAAGTGCTTCCAGAATATCTTCATCATTTGGCATCTAAAATAATAAACAACTTTTAGTAAGTATCCAAAAATAGCCAAAGAATGAAAACATGTATTTTAATTAATACTATGAACTTTGCAAACAACGTTAGTGGCTTTTATTATTTGTCAGATGAAAGTGATTGTTGTTCTGCGTCGTATTGACTTTAAAAACGTTTCCATAGTTTCTTTTTTGATATACTGTTTTTCTGTAGTAATATAAACTATCAATAATCAATATTTGAGATTTGTCAGACGTTCATTTATTCTAGACAATACGCGTAGGCAACAACGACAACTGTATTTATTCCGATGTTATTACAACGGCTCATTAGACTGATAAAATTGTCCTGCCGTTACATCTATATTTACCTTGATTTCGGTATGGAAAATGAACGTAACGCAGTTGGTCAGCCGACTTTTGTTATCTGGTCGTGATACGATTTGATATTATCAATATGAGAAAAATGTATCTTCCTACGCCCTTAACCGGCTTCAATCGAATGTCTAATTCAAATTATTCACTGTCTAAATACGCAAGGCTATAATAAATTTTTCTGTTTCTCTTCTTCTCCGTCCGGCTGTTTTCTTTTCTCTCCTTCTCTGTCCGGTTGTTTCCTTTTCTGTCCTTTCGACATAATGATTATATATTTCTATACAAGACTGATTGACATACTTTGCTTCTTGAAAAATATCTTCATATACCGTAAAATTCGTTTTCATGCGAGAAACAAACTGCAATGATACGAAGATCGTTTTTCGAAGAACACTTTCTTTTCATGTCAGCGGATTAATATTCACGACATAGTGGACGCTAACGTTGTTTTTTCCTTTAAAATAAAAATATGTACAAGTGGTAATAGATCACTACTAAAGATCAATTCATCATTCGACATTGTTTAATTAAGAAGTCTTTTCGATGCACCAGTCCTGAGTTTTACTTTTCTGAAAAGATTGCTAAAGTATTCCAAAACAATACATATATATTTATAAGTGCAACAAAATTTCCTGAAATAAATCTTATTGACACATTATAATGCATTAATACATTATCGTTGTCTTATTGGAATTTTATGAAATAATGCATTATACCGCATTAATGCGAAATATATTCATGAATAAGCGTAGTAGTCATGTAGTACTTTAAAAACGGTGTTGGTTTGTCTTTTTCTTTATTACTAACTTCATATATAAAGGATATTCGACTGGAATATGAATATAATTTTGTTTCCAGAAATCTTGCATGATTTGCTTTCTTTTTTAGCATTTCAATTCACCATTTAATTCTGTCATAGTGTATTTTTGATCTTTGCCGATCGAAATAATCTCAGCTGATTATGATTTTAGCTTATTGAAGCCATAAAGAAATGATGATGACATATTATCAGTCGATTTCTTTTCTAATTTATCTAATTGTAATTTAAAACGTCGTATCATTTTCTGCCTGCGCGTGTTTTCTTACTATATATTATTATCAAAATGGCTTTCCTATTCTTTTAATTTTATTTGATGAAGTCAATGATGTTTTTGATCATTTCCGATCATCATTTGTTTTCTTTGAGTGCTTTCACTAAAATACACGTCACTAATTCAACAAATTTTGATGTCAGTTTATCACATAACGAATAAAACACTTTTTCTTTTATATCACATGATATACTGTATTGATTATCGAGAAGAATTTGATTGCTATTTATTAGTTTCCGAATATGCATCTCACTTTCTTTGTGCTTAAATTAATATTACAATTTAATAAAACTAACAGAACGAATGATATGATTTCTTTTCATTTCTTTTCTTTTCGTTTCTTATGTTATATTCTTTTGTTTAGCTGGCGGCCATTTTTTTATTAATGCTCTTATAGTATATTTTATCTGTAAAATTATTACAAATGTTCTATGGAAAACTTACATAATGATCTGGTTCAAACATCAAAATGTAAATTAATAGGTGAGATAGATATCTACTCATCAATAATTTTTTCTGTTTCTGTTTTAGATCTATCGTTTATTTTTCTTAAACTTCTGTATCAATGAATCGTGTGTATATTATGTATAATTATTCATTAATAAGTACGTACTAATTGATGATATTGAAAGAAAATATTTTCAAGTTTCAAGAATGCAACGGTATCTATCTTTTACTTGAGAAAATTTCAAATTCAACAAAAATCTATTTCATAGTTATAAGAACCTGAATAATAATGAATATTTTCATAACAAACGCTCTAGCTTTCCTAAATAATGTTCTTTTTTTTATGTTTTGCTGAGGCAAAAACGTTTCCTATAGCATTATTTAACAGGAACTTTTTCACGTGGCGTTGATCAGGATGCAAAAGCTTACTACATTCTAAATCAGGGAAATAATAATTTTTTATAACAATCTTTAATGAAATTACCTCGGATATCGAACTTCTCTTCTGCAGGCATTTTCAAGATTGTCATTGTTGATCGTACATCAAGATCCGGATAGAGACATTTAGTAATCGATCTGCATGTTTTTGCTATATCTTCGCTTTGTTTACATTGCTCTACCTGATTCATATTAAGGTTTAAACGACGACAAATTTGTTTCAGCTCTTCTTTTCCTTTACATTTCTTTTTCTTTAACTTTGCTGGAATGATATCATCTGTTTGAGTATATTTAGAAGCAACTTGTGCATCTGAACCAAGATATCTATTTAGAAAAATGATTTTCATTAGACTGATTAAATTAATAAACTACTTGTGCATCAATTGAGATTTATAATATTCAATTTCCTTCTTTTGTTGAATATTTTCTTTCAAAATCTCCTCAACCGTTAGATTAGAAGAATTGATATGTTTGATTTCGTTCGAACAACCTATAAAATAATCATTCAGTTAAACTTATATTGGTTAAGATTGTTCAAATGACAAGAACAAGAGAATATATTAATAAATATCAAGTTTTCCACTTTATTTGCATATCCTTAAACAATAAATTTTCTTAGTTTCACTGTTATAGTTATTACTACATATAGAAATATGGAATGCAAACATCTATCTACAGATGAATTAAAAAATCATAATATTTTTCTCAATATTTTTGAAGGACCATCTGCATTCCAAATAGAATCGACCTTTCATGTCGTTTTTGATAAGGAACAACTTCTATCCTTACTCGATGTCAAACTTATCGTGGAAGAATCTTCATTATGAAGATTTGTTAATGATGATTTATTTGGTGAACGAAGAATTTCAATCGTTGAATGTGTTACACCTGGTGGAACAGCTGAAACAGCAAGTAATACAGGACTAATTAGAAGAGTAATGAACCAAGCACATTGTCATTTACTTTGATCGGAACATCGTAATCGCTTTTGATTATCACCATCAAAATACAAAACTTCACACACAGAGTCAGAATTCGATGAATTGCTTTTGTCGTAAATTTCACCAAATTTTGTTGGTTCAACACAATCTTTATTCATTGATGATTCATCCTCTTAAAGATAAAAATAAATAACCATTTCAGTTTAATGTATTCACCCAAGTTATTAATTTTTGGACAAGTCATGAGAAATATTTGACTAACCGGATGAATCTATGTAATGTTTTCTGACGAAAACTAATCGATGATGAACTTTTTTACTCGAATGAGCAGATTTACGGCCGACCGATTTTTTCATTTCGTTAGATGTTGTTTTTCTTGTCATAATTTCAACCAAAACAATTACTTTCTCAAAATCGAAATGAATATCTGAAATGTAATATTTCAAATATAAATTTGAAGAAAAACACGAATGAACATTGAACAGCAATGTTATGTAATTCACGTTCATTATACATTTTCATATTGGCGCAAAAAATGGAGGTCATTACATTAACAGATGTCGTAAGCATATGTATTATACTAACTCGTGATTCAATTCTTCTTCTTTGAACATGTAATGATACTCAAATAAAACCGTATTGGATTGTAATTTATTTTATTGTGTTTTTTGTTAAATAGAGAGAATGTCGATTTTTACATGTGTTAAATGTAAAATCTTATACTGATTTAGTCTATAAATTGCATTATGAAAATGTATCGAAGAGGAATGGATGCATCCGATAATTCTGACGGATGAGTTTGGTATGATCCAACACAAAATTTGATTGTCGATTTTTTTTCAAAGATTTTATGTATTGTTCGTAGAAGTTTAAAAAGCAATTTGATTCTCATCAGTTCTCACTACTATATGGTCGAAATTGAAAAATTAAAAGAAACGTATGAACAATAATAATAATAAAAGATCATTCATTGATACAAAAATACACTGTCACTGAATACCAAGACTCCGATCAATATTAAATCATGGTGCTTATAATCTTTCTAAACGATTCTCATCATTTAATTCAATCTTTCTCTTATGTATATGAGCATTTCTTAATAAAAGATAAGAGAATCAAAGATAATGCATATTCCAGCAGATCAAATGAATTTTTTTCAGAACAATGTCATTGGGTCCTTCTGTTAGAATGACAATAGTTATATGTGTTGTGACACATCAACTTTTACCATTCTNTTTAATTCAATCTTTCTCTTATGTATATGAGCATTTCTTAATAAAAGATAAGAGAATCAAAGATAATGCATATTCCAGCAGATCAAATGAATTTTTTTCAGAACAATGTCATTGGGTCCTTCTGTTAGAATGACAATAGTTATATGTGTTGTGACACATCAACTTTTACGATTCTTCTATTCTAAACATTGACTGTTGTCAATCATATAATTTTATAAAACTATAGGTTTGATAAATATTCGCTAACTCTATATTACATGTGACTGGAATTACCATTGATCTTATTAGATGCATGCGTAACGACGAGATATGCTAGTACTGAATTCAAATATTATCTAGAAAATCCAATCATATTCACTGTATTTCAGAGAGAAGATTGCGTTCAATGATAAAAAGTTATTCTTTTTTTACATTTCTATTTACCCATATCGTAAGTGGTGTGAAAACTAAAGATAATGCAATCAATTTATCAATTTGTTTTATCTGAATGTATTACAATTTGGTAGCATCAGTATACACACAGTGTGCCTTCTCACCTATCTAAATAAACTCCAATTTAATATTTAACTCGAGTTATTCATTATCTGAATAAGGAATTCTTGAACACATTTATTTTGCTTTTCTTCCCATTTCATTCTGCTTTTTTCCTTTCCTTTTTTTCTAAATAACTCACAATACATTTCCGTCCAAAGCGACCAACACGCTTTCCATTGCAACTAATTGAGTAGAACAATATCATGAACTGTAATCTATTTTATCTTCCTTTCGAAAGAAAATAATAAATGCTATGAAATAGTTGTATATCGTCAAAAAGCATCGAAATACACTTTCGACGTAAACATATCACAAAAATTATATTGATGAAAGAGACTTTTTTATTCAAATCTTGTGTAATACTTTCTCTATATGAATGATAGAGTAATTTATAATAGAACATCTTAAAAGGCATACAACAAAATCGTTCACATCAGAACTTTATCAACACATTATCATCGATTATAATGCACTAACACACTGTTGCTGTTTTACCTAACGATCTCTCTAGTTTTTTTTCCACAAACAATGTATTATAATGCATTAATGATAATAATTGTTATAAATCAATAACTTGTTAAAAGCTCTTTCTCTGTTTATGAACCTGTTTCAACTAGGATAATCATTAATTATTTTTTCAATTCAATAGAAAATTATTCTTTTATCTTTGTAAAATTCTTATCATTCCTCTATAAAGAGGAATATTTGTTGAATGGCATTATTTGCTTTTCTCTTGCTATGTTCGTATCATTTTGTACAGTTTATGGAAATCTAGTTATTAATTCTGTTAGTGTATTTCTTATCGATAAAATTAGTAGATATGTATCATTGAAATCTTACGAAATAAATTCAACTAACGATATAATGTTAACACCAAAGTGAAGATCGCCCTTGTT